TTCATATAACTATACTCTGGTGGAAACAACAATGAATCCCCTGTAAGAAAATGAGATGGGGTTAATGCCAATAAATCGTTAGGATCACTGGAAAAGGGAGTGAGAGGCCTTGAATTCAGGATTGCTTCTATCTCCACGAGCAGCGTTGCGTATTCCTCAAACGTCCAAACCAGACCCTTCGTGACAGTGTGGAGGTGACGCTTGGTAGCCTTGACAGCGGCCTCCCAAAGACCTCCAAAATGTGGAGATCGAGGAGGAATAAACCTCCATTCGATTTTCTGACGAGCCAAGTATGTGGCTATGGCTTCTTTCTCCTTCCGAAGAAACTCGTATACTTCTGCTAGCTCTCTCGCAGCTCCGACAAAATTAGTGCCGTTGTCGGACACGATCTTCGAGCAAATTCCTCTTCTCGCCACAAACCTTCTTAATGCAGCTAGAAATGACTCGGTAGTTAATTCCGTCACTAGCTCTATGTGTACGGCTTTAGTGGCAAAACAGGTAAACACGGCGATCCAGGCCTTCGAGATGTGAATCCTTCCCCGCCTGCGACTCTCTCGTACCTGCAATGGCCCGGCGTAGTCTACGCCCGCTGTGGTGAATGGTCTCATGTTATGACGGACTCGATCCTCAGGAAGATCTCCCATGAAGACCTCAGGTGTCCTTGGTTTAGCTCGAAAGCATTTTATGCAACTCTTCGTAATCTTGTTTGCTTCTCGTCGTCCACTTAAAGGCCAATACTTTACACGTGTTGAGTAGAGCAACTGCTCCGGGCCGCAATGGTGAAGCCTGAGATGCTCCTTCCTCATGAGGATAGTTGTAACGTGGTGCTTGGCTGGCAACAATATTGGATGCTTCTGAGTTTCGGGAATGTCGGCCTGTGATAACCGACCACCTACCCTTATGATTCCTTCCTGATCCAAGATAGGACTGAGGGACGACAACTTACTACCCTTGGGAATCGATTGCTGCTGTTCGAGAGCCCGCATCTCCTTCAGGAAAACTTCTTGCTGGACAGTCTTCAATATGATAGTTTCCGCTTGCTCTATTTCGGCTGGCGTTAAAGGGCCACTCTTCTTTGCGCCAAGTAAATTTGCCTTAAAACGCAGACAATAAGCGACTATGCGTTGAAGCTTCCCATAGTCTGAAAATCTTCGTAGGATGTCGTACTCCTCGTTTCTGGTGGCGATTAGTGAAGTGATCTTCATCTCGGACGTATCGCCTAAGATTTCTGGTTGTTCAGGCCATCGATCGGTGACGAGCCACTCAGGCCCTTGCCACCATAACTGACTGGTCCTCCACATTTCCACTGACATGCCTGTCTTCCTAATGTTAGGTGACTCTGCTATCCAATTGAGAACGACCGTCGAATCGCTAAATAAAGACACGTTTCGAATCCTGTCACCATAAGCCTTTCTTGCTTGTTCGGTCAGTTTAGTCAACAGCAGCGCCGCATCAAGCTCCAGTCTTGGTAGTGATATAGTCTTCAAAGGTGCGACTCTGCTTTTCGAACAAATTAAATGCGCTTGTAAGGTACCTCCCGACCTTTGTGAAACAGCATACAGCACGGCTCCATATGCCTTTTCTGAGGCATCTCCAAAGCCTACGAGATCGAACTGATTGCTCACATTTCCCGGATTGATGTTTCTCGGAATCTTCAACTCGTTGGTTTGCGGCAGCGATCTATAGTACTCCTTCCATGTAGCTTCTAACTCCGTTGGGAGAACTTCATCCCAACCAGTTTTGATTTGCCATAGAGACTGCATAATACATTTCGCAATGATGACAACGGGTCCCAGCAAGCCAAGGGGGTCATATATTTGAGCTATCTGAGATAGCACCAGACGCTTGGTAACCCTTGAATTCTCTTCTATCGACACGCTGTATTGCAGAACATCTGACTGGGCATCCCATAGAAGTCCCAACGTTTTCATGGCACCCTCCTTGTCTATTTTGAGGAAGCTGTTATCGTCGTTGGACTCGGGTAGTTCCTCCAATATACGTAGATCATTGGAACGCCACTTCCGCAGCTGAAACTGTCCCCGTTGCAATAACTCCGACAGCTGCTGTCGCAAGGCTATGGCCCCTTCTATGGTACTTGCGCCAGACAAAACATCGTCCATGTAGAAATCTTCTAGCAAGACCAGGATTGCTTGTAGAAACTCCGATTTCTCATTGTCCAATGCTTCTTTTAGGAACTTCTTCAGCTCTTCGATCTTCAACCTTATTTCGAGAAACATCTTCATCTCTTCGACCGTCAAGGTTGCCTTTAGAAACCTTTCCAGTTCTTCTATCGCTAATCTCTCCAAACAGCTGAGGGCTAAATAAGGTGCACATGCGGTGCCATATGTCACCGTGTTCATCCTAAAGATCTGAACTGGTTGCGATGGATCTGATCTCCACAGAATCAGTTGTAAATCTCGGTCTTCTTCGCACACGAGTATCTGTCGGAACATTGCAGCTATGTCCGCCGTTATGACAAAGGGGTGTGATCGAAAGCGTAAGACTATGCAGAACAGGCTCTTCTGCTTGTTTGGACCAGCGAATAACTTGTCGTTTAACGATGTTCCCAACGATGTCTTCGCTGAGGCGTTGAAACAACACGTAACTTAGTTGTGGTGCTGTCCGGTTTAATCACCGGATGATGCGGAAGTATGTACGATTGCTCTACCTTTGTGCTCGTATCTGGGCCTGGTCCCATTAACGACATGTGGCCTTGAGTTTCATAGTCTTCCATGAATTGAACATACGCATTCTTCAATGCTGGATCTCCTCTGAATCTTCTTTCTAGGGAATATAATCGCTGCAATGCTTGATTCCCTGGATCGCCGAGTTTCACTCCGGGTTTCTTCGGAAGTGTTACGATGAACCTACCAGTTTCATCTCGCTTGACCGACTCATGGAACTGCCGTTCACACTCAATCTCTTCTTGGGTGAGACTCCGTTTTTCGAGCGTCTCCTCTTGCTTCCAAAAGCGTTCTAACTGCGCTTGGAGTTGCGCATTTGTGATGAGACCGCAGAAGCTTCTTGGAGTTTCCGAGCTGGCGTCGAGAAGCTCCCCTCCTACAATCCATCCTAGCAACGTACGTTGTAATCTGGGTATTCCCTTTGGTCTTTGAATATAATCCTTGCAGATTAATTGCCAGAAAAGTCCTGCTCCTATTAGAATATCCACTGTTCCTGGCGTGTGGAAATCAGGATCTGCTAGGCTCAAACCCTCCGGCAAGCAAATCAGTTTAGTATTGATTTTGACTTGAGGAAGTCTTTCAGTAATGGCAGGCAGCACGAGACATTCTATGGCTACCTCATAATCCGCGTTCATCGATCGGATTTTTACTCCTACTGTTTTACCGACATTGGTTTGTGATCGGTTGATCCCACTGATGACTTCGTCTCTCCTTTTACATTTCAATCTGAGCCTGTCGACGAGTTCCTGGGTGATCAAATTGGATTGCGACCCTGCATCTAGAAGTGCACGGCATTTGTGCTGGCCTTCATTGACGTCATGGACTATAACTCGGGCCGTTGACAGCACCACGCACGACGTGGGTTTTCTTCCAAGGTTGATTACAGAAGATGACTCTTCAGTATCTTGCAAGGTTTCTTGAGTGCCGTGCATTACCACTGCCTTCTTGGACGCGTCCTCTTCTGACTTCTTATCGGTTGCAGTCTTCTCTTCTTGCTCTGGATGCAACAGGGTATTGTGCTTCTTCTGGCACCTCCGGCATGCTGAAGATTTGCAAGCCGCGGAAAAGTGTCCTTTGCTTAAGCAGTTCATACACAATTTCTTCGCTTTCACCTCCTTTAATCGGTCAGCACTCGATAGCTGCAGAAAATCCGGGCATCGGTATAACTGATGATTCTTGCTGCAGAGGACACAACCTTCTTGAGAGGTGGTTGCCAAAGCTACTTTTTTTTCTTGTTTTTTCCCTGCTGGCGTCTTTGATGCTTCCGACTTTCCCTTGGTCTTGTCAATTATCTCAAGCGTTCGTACTTGCTCATTGAAAAAAGTCAGAAAGTTCTCCAACGTAGGTCGATTTTCCTTGTCCTTTTTGGTTTCTTCTTCCCAACTCTTCTGTGTATTGTAATCCATCCTATTCTTTAACAGGTGTATGAGAAGCTCGTCCCACTTATCAACCGGAAGCTCTAGTGTCTCTAAAGCCTTTAAGTGCGT